TGTAGCGATTTACCTCATTTAGCCTTGCATAATCGTCTATTGCCTGTTTTAAGATCCTGACTATGCCCCTTAAAGATCTAAGTTGGGAGTGAGTACAAATAATGATTAGATTATAATTTTTAAAGATTTTTAATATAAAAACAGTAAATTGTTGTTTAAACATCGGCATAACCTGCCCCGTTTCGATCCGATAGATTTCACCATCACATATATTAACAAAGAGTGAAACATTTTGAGGTACACAACCCCATGCACCACCCAAATAAAACTCCTTCCACTTCCCGCCGTACCACAAGGATGAACTTCCGTTGGTGGACATATTTAATGTCATCACTCTTACAACGAAGGAGATCGAAATATTTTACCCGTTTGTTATTTGTAACATCCGATTACTGAAAAGCTAGTCCCAATACAAGCAAGTACACCGTTCATGTATATCCAGTAGCTTCAATAATCTACTGAGAATTTTTCACTCCAGCAACCAGGACGTCATCTGGTGAATTCCATAACGTCTTGGTTGTTGGTTGCGGTGTTATATGGTTGCGGTGAATCGCTTTTCAGTGACCGGGTGTAACTATTAACATAATTCTCCATGGTATAAAGTGCATAATAAAGGAGCTGGTAACACAACATAGCACAGCGATATTTGACCTAATATATACATACCTGCACATGTCCAATATATAAGGGTTATGTACTGGGAGGTTTTGGATATGAGGTTTATCCAGAGGGAGATATGCATATCTACCTGAGGGACAGTAGGGACCGAAGGTAGATGTGCATATCTCACGAGGGATGAACCCAATATCCAAACCGACCGTACATAACTGCTTTATCCTATACCAAGTAGAGTTTTCAGGGGCATATGGCCATTTCAATAGTACAAGGTGTAAAAATAAACAAATCATTCATATGCAAAGTCATTTTATTGCATTTCCACTACTTACCGGAAGCGGGAAGATATGCACCGAAGCGGGAAGATATGCACCGAAGCGGGAGATATGGCGGGAGATATGGAGGTTCTGGATATGGAAACCTCAAAATCAGGATACGGGATATATCTTACCAACTTATCTCCCTAAAACTCCACTTGGCATAGGATAATGTTCTTTATTTTAGCCGTTCAATATTCCTCGCGCTTTTGGGCTGAATTATGCGTGTCATTAGCAAGGGTAAGAATATCAGTAAAAACGAAATCCATTTCTTACAATTTGGAGTATGTACTGCAACAGGAAATTAAACGAAATAAATGTTACAAATGAAACAAATTACATAATCAGCACATCAACATTTTGAATTGTTTCTTTGGTATTGATGATAGTATCAATGAATCGTTTTTATATAAGAATGAAATATACTAAAAATATTGTAGTTTTTTTTGAAAATGGGTGGTCTTTATTAGGGTGGTTCAAAATATTTTCTTTTGAAATAGTCATGCTCCGGACATGAATTGGGTTTCCTTTTGGGGGAAAACTGATGTGTGAATTTTTTCTCACAGCCCTCAGTTTTACCATTGGATTAACATTAGTGGGCGTCCCCCATGTTCCACATATTCTTGTTGAGCTAATGTTTGTTTTGTTTGTCCAAAAACTGCACTGTTTGGTGATAATAAGCACATAGCAATATGTGAAATATACTTACATATGTTGTTTTATTGTTGGGAGTGGTGATAGGGTTTCGTCTTTGGATAAGGGAGACATAGCCTATTTAATTTAATTTAATTATTTATTTACCTGTATTTAAACAGAGTGGTTTTACAAACATATTTACATTTGGTAACATTTGGTATTGTCTCAGCTTGCTCAAACTACCAACACATTTATGCAATAGAATTAAGTCATGAAATTACATTGAAATTAAAATTAATTTTTACAAAATAAAAATCCAATTTAATGTAAATAAAGCCTTTAAAACGTCTTGAGTCTGTGTGAAAATTCGGATGAAAATGTTCTAAGAAATAAAACACACGGAGCTCCTTAAATATTGGTTCAAATGTTGCTGCGCTGTATTGTGCTACGGAGGATTCCTCATATTTCGAAGTCATGTCATGTACTATAACTGGTAAAATATTCGGATACAAATCGACCGCCTTCATTTAACTGAAGTTCATCCATCTTTATAACCCGTTGGAGACCAGTGATTTTATAGTCCCATTTCATTGAAAGTTCACACTGTTCATCGTCCTCTTAAATTAGAAGATTAAAAACATAGTCATCAACTGTCTTGTGGAACACTATAAAGCGATTCGTTAATGCTAAACCTGGCGATACATTTGTTTTCCGTCCTTTTGAACGGCATTTCTTGCACATCCGCTTCATAATGTCCTAATATTGCCATATAACACATGACGTATGACATATGCCATATAACACATACCATATGGAACATGACATATAACATATGACATATAACACATGACCCTGACCCATGACACATGACATGACATATGACACATGACATATAACACATGGTATACAACAAATGACATATGATACATGACATATAACACATGTCATATGACACATGACATATGACATATAACGCATGACATATAACACATGTTATACTTTCGTTGGAAGATTGTCATACTTACCTTTCCCTTCATCATATGCAACTTCGATGCCTTATTAAGTATCTATCTCAAAAAATATTTTCCAAGCTTGAAGTTTCACTTTTAAGGCTTTCGTTCATTGTGAAAACATTTAGTTATTCAGGGAATCTTGTTCGGATATATTTGAACTTAATATCTTTTGAATGTATCCATTTTCATGTAAAAATGACGAAATGCATAAAATGACAAAAGCATTAAATTTCAGTACAATAATAATTACAGTGATTTAAGCGTCATGTTTTGGATTACATCACCTTGGTTCTTAAGCCAACCATTTCTTTATCTTATATTTCAGCAATAAAACTGATAATTGGAATAAAAAGTTGCCTTCTTAGAATTAATCTAGATCTGACCCAAATTGAGCTACAGTGTTTCTAGGATGTATGAATTTACTTACTTTTAGTACCTAATAACGTCAAGGCAGCGACTGTCGTAGCTTTGAATTATTCAGTTATTGCGTCAGTAATCCGAACGTTGAGTCGTCTTCAATTTTTATTGTTATAAAATACATTTTGCTAGTAGATCTATTATATCATTTACTGAGGCACAGTAAAATGTTAATTTATTGCAGAGGAGATTTTTCCGGTTTTGGAAAAAGCTGATACAGTTATGCAGTTAATAATGTACCATATAATTGATATTACATCCCAATTCCGTACTGTAATGTTCTATATGGAGATCTCAATTCTAACAACCGATGGGCACGCTATCGAGTCATTTCGATCCATAAACTCCAAATGCATCTAAGCGAAAAAATCTGGAAACGATATTTTATTAAAGATCGTAATTTATGATCAACCGTCATATTTTTATAGGAGGAATGGTTTGCTAAAACTCTTGAAGTATCTGATCTAGTGGTATGTACATCGTATCCAGCTGATTCAAGGCGCTTACTACAAGTTACAAGGAAATACCGTACTATATCATAGACTTGAGTTATGTGATCCTAAAATATATAAAGATCCTCAATCAATAGTTCACCTTCTGGAGGACACGTTTTTAGAAAAAAGGTGATTATATATCGATTTACTTTGTTTGGTTTCGAGACAGTACATTCAGATTTCCTAATCATCAACACTCCGCTTTTGTTCATCAGACTTGACTCTAAAGAGAGAGGAAGCGGATGTTAATGATTTTTATGGTTCTCGAGTAGCATTCCGCTTGAAGTCTGGAGAAAAACGATACAATAATAGACAATGTACGATTGTTTTCTCTATTAGTGATACAACTCTAGATTTCATGTGCGTATAATAATTTCAAAACCTATCCAAGGCTGTTGTTATTTGATAATCTCATGCGATGCATTAATTATATCAAAGGTGCCAGCGTTCTGCACTTTAGAAATTGGTATATCCCACTGTGCTTCTCCCCCAACAAGTTTAAATTGCCAAGCAATGAGAGAAGTTTTTATAACGAGTTCAATTAACACAGTCAGTCGTTTTTCTTTGCTTCGTCTAGTCAGACTCAGGAATCGTGAGTTGTAGACATTGTTTTTCTGTTTTATCTAATTCTGATCTACAACTGTTCATGATCGAACATGAACTTACGGCGCTAAGAATAAATAGTAAGTAGTCGAGATTCTAATCAGATTAGCAGAGGCTATTTCATTATCTCGAAAACAACTACTACTAATATATAGTCACTAGTCAGAGACGGACAAACCAATAAACACATTCCAATAGTTTGATTTCGCTTCTCATAAAACAACTTCATCTGCATAGTTGTACTAAGATCCTCCCCAGGGTTTAGTCTAATTTAATTTTACCTGAGTTTCATATAATTTTTCAAAACTGTAGTTTCATGTAAACTTTTAAAGACAATCAGTGCAGATTTACCAAAATGCAATCACCAGATATGTTACTTTTATAACACATATATATGAATATAGATATAGACAACACAAATGAAAAATAGTTGCTGGGGACTAGCAAAGTAACCTAGGAGATATCTGCCATCTGGTTGGCTGCGATACGGCCATTCATGAAGTCACAACAATCAGGTGATATCGTATAAGTTGAATGTTATCAGGAAAATATATGGAAAATCTGTTATCAGAAAATTGACTCATTCAACGACTTTCCTTTTCAATTCTGAATTCTGAGATCTTTCTTTTCCATTCAGTTTTTCTATAAGAGATTTTCTTATGAATTGATAACATTCGAGACTAACATTTTGAGGATATAACCAGAGCTATTCATAACCAACCAATTCAATTCCTCTTGATTCTGATCCCCTAACCCTTCACAAGTAATAGCTCGAAAATCAGTTTAATGAAACCATAATGTTGGAATAACAACTCAATAACTGTCAACAAGATGAATTGTCAGACTTTTTTAAGAAAAATGTGAAGCTGTTTGATTAATGGTTCCTTAATTATGTTTGATGATAAATAGGACGTACATAGGTTCAGTTCTAGGTTGTAGTTGTCTATTTTGAATTCATATTCTGAAAATACTGAAGCTGAGGCCAACAGGTAAATGTTCTTGTATTTAGGAAAATCGATGTGGTTATGATATATATGACTAATATAATGTATTATGTACTAAATTATATATAAAATGCCACTAAAAGACAATATTCACGACAAAATTATTTTACTCTTAATAAATATTCAGGCGGATATGATTTTACTCTACTTTATAATTTATATTTCTTATAAGAAATTCTGGAAACTAATATTACCATGCCTATTAACCTCTAAAAATAAAATAATACGTTGTCATTACAGAAAAAGATTAAGATAATACAATACACAGTCCGTGGTATGACATTTCTGAGACATCTCAGAGTATAGACATATTCAATTACCACGTAACATTCACTTAGTTATATATCTTTTTTTTTTTTTTTTATTTGTTTTTTATTCATCAAACATAAAATGTATACATATAGGTGAAATATTATACAAGTCACTCCATTACCCATTCATTCACATTCTCCACTCATACCATCATACTGTTAAAATCCATTTTCATTTTTAAACAATAATCTAAATATGCCTTAAAGTTGTAATAATTTGGAGGCTCTTGTTGCATTTTCTTATTATATAAGTAGTACTTTCCTATAATAACTACCATATTTTCAAAATCACTCCATTTTGGGCTACCAAATACTACTGTAAGCAGAGAAAATTTTTCGAGATCTTTTAATGTATTATCTATTATTGATTTCCAAAACTGTTTCGTATAATCACAATTAAAGAAGATGTGGTCACAAGTTTCTATGTTCACATGGCAAAACTCACACATTGGTGAAGGTGTTATTTTGTATTGAAATAGTTCACTGTTACATATCTTTGTCGGCTTGTTGGCTATTTGTGTTTCAAAAAAATCAAAACATATTACACTAAAAATCAGATAGTTTGTTCTAGAACACCATGATGCTGTGGCTGTTTGTTTTGGCAGTCCCTGCTGTAATTGCCATTGATCCTGACTACTACCCCATGATCATGGGTAAGAAATGGTTTTCGTTATAGAGTAGTTTCTATATAGATTTTGAAATCTCGCTTATTCTCTTTTTGTGAGATTTTAAAAGATTTGCATATTAAACCTTTAATGACTTACATTTCCTTCGTTTTAATAGCACATTTTAATTTATTGAAAATATTTCCATATTAACTTTGATTTATACAATTATGGATTCAACTTTTCTTAATAAAAGTCTTGGCCATATTTCCATTGATGCAAGCTATGCTAACATTCTACATTGATTTACTCGTTGAACAACCAAAGTGTTCAAAATTAATCACAATATGTTCATGTTGACAGGATCATTCCAGAGTGTGCCATTCGAGTTAAGGGATTCAACCAACACTTTTTGATGAGTCATAAAATTAAGTGATTTAGTTTTAACGTTGTTCAGTCTATTGCAGTCTATCCCATTAAAAATAAAAACACAGTGCTGACATCTATTTATCCAGCTTTGTTCAGCTATAAATCAACATATTGCTTAAAGCTATATTGAACAAATGTCAGGAAGTTTTGTCAAAATCTAAGAATTATCATTGTCAAGATCCCTATCTTACCTTGGTACTAGGATAACTCATATTGCTACGGGATACTGGGGATTTCTCAATTTTAAGCCAATACCTTATTTCTTTTTGGAATGAATCCAAAAATGGGATTGTGAACTGACCTTGGTGACATCATTAAAAAGTGTGCACAATGAATCATTTCATTGATTTACCTCATTCTGAATATGGACTCCGTGTCTTATAAATGGAGAATCAAATTAAATTTGAGAAATCAGATCATTTGTCTTCTAATACAATCGCACACAATACAGATTATTTAACCATTGTAATTGTACATCATATTGCATGGGGAGTTGATATCTCAGCTAATTTTATTGATATGTTCTATCAAATGATATTGGGTAAGAAAAGGTGTCTCTTCTCAATATTGCTTACCGATTTCTATTTTTAGAATTGAGGAACAAATAACAATATATCATACTCGAAAGCAGGAAGATTTCAATACTTTCCACAAAATTAATTAAGTGAGTTGATCTTATCTGGCATCACTGAACTTTTGACGCTCTGAAATAACAGATAACAACGTTCATTATTGAACCCATCGATCAAAAATGAATCACCTTTCTTCGACGGTAAAATGTTTTGATTTTATTTCTTTGCACAGGGTGACACAAAAATCTCACCCTTTAAATTTTGAATAACTTTCTCAATAATTAAGGAATCTTCATGAGTTTTGTTTGTAGATAAAGTTCATTCGATTTGAATGCTTGCATAACATCAACAACTTTCAAAATAGATATATCGATATCCGTGGAGGCATGCTCTGTCACCAAACCATTCAAAAATGTAAATTATTAAGATTTACTCAATAATTAAGCGGATCGGTTGATGATCAATTTTAGAAAATCAAATTTTTGACGATTATCTTTGTAATGGTATATTATTTTTTAGATTTTTTATTCGTGTAGAAAAAAAGAGAGCTCTCGAAATCTGCCATCCGGTTCTTATGACCTATACTGATTTTGAGATAGAGAGTCCCAAAAGAAGGTCAGCAGAAGATTTATCAAAATCCATCGAGATCCATATAGAAAGGACCAAAAACTGTCAAATAAACGAAGCAGGAAAAGCAAAGTGTAAAGCTGTTATAAAAATACACCCGCTGTATCCCAAAACTATCGTTAAAAGAAATAATAGGGACCACATAATTTTCGCGGTAAATATCACAGTTAAATTTAATATTAAAATTCCTTGAGAGGAATTAATTTCTTAATTTTTCTCAGTATTTCCAACAAATCCCCCACTCTATGTCTTGATTAAAAGTTTATCAATTTTGAGACATTTGGGAAATTTGACTCTCCAAAAAGGATGAATTTCGAAGAGTTTCAAATCTATCGAGATTAGTATTATATATGGAAAGCTCATGATTCTGAATCTGATATCGATATGGAGATCCGACTTCCTGTTGATTTGTTTTTTTAACTAAATAAGGACAACTTTTCATAATTTTCTTTTTACTTTCAAATACGTTGAAGCAAACTAAGGAGACCTTAGAACGTCAATAACTCATGTTTTTGAGTCTCAAGGACAAAGTTTAGGTCATTTTCCTAATGCTTGCAATAACCACACTACTGTTCAAATGTCAAAATCACTTTTTCAAATAAAAATCTGAAATCTCGAGTCTTGAATTGAACGTGAATGATTAACGTAATGTCCATTTCTAAAAATATTTTTGAAATGTTTCAAGCAAAGGTTGAAATATATCAACTCAATCTATATGGGGTCTTCTTTTCTTATGACAGATTTACACTTACAGTTTGCTTTTCTTGTTGGGTTTCTTTGGAGTTTTTGGTCACCCTTCCCTTTGGCATTTGCGCTTATATTCCCTGGTTAGAAAGTTTTATTTCTAAATTGTCTCATCTAACAATGTGGACTTTTTAACGTTCAAAGTTTAGTTTCACCCAATCAGCGAATCCCAGAAGTGGAATTACAGGAATATCGAATATCGAAAGTTAAAGGTTCATGTAGGAGCATGGAGTGCTGTAAGACAAATAGTGCTATCTTTTTGCTTGACATGTTGTAAAAATTTAGGTCATGGTAGTCATCCCATCATTTTGTGAAATGTGGTCATCAAAATATTTTGATTTCAACACTATGGTACGGTTTTGGTTGTACTATTCATTTAAATGTTTGGTAGTAACTAAATTGAAAGAATTAATTAATTTTTTTAGGTTCTGAAGCAGGCAAGGCGATGTGCAAAACAGGATATTTCAAGGCCGACACTGATAATTGCTGCTCCTATCACCAGTGCTATAACAGCAACCAGGGTATCATGGTAAGCCGTACATTGTTACACTGAACCAACTACAGATATACATGTACATTATAATCCTATCACCAAAGCCATTGTCATCAAAAAATAAGCTTTCAATATTTTCCAGTTAATTAAAATATATACCAGTGCTTCAATAAAATACACAAATGGTGTCATTATGATTAACTCTTTTTCATTTTGAAAGGCCTACAAACGCTGGTGTTGGGAGCCGATGGTTTGGAATGAGGAGTCCTGCACGTGTGATTTCCCTCGATATGTCCCTGGCTGTGATAATTTGCCGAGTGACTGCTGGGGTAATCTTTCTTCTGCAAGTGTACCACTATATCCCGATTCCCATATTTTGAGAGTTAAATGTGACTCATTTTCAGTTTTCCAATCAAAGACTTACCAAATACCTGATAAGTAATTCCCAAAGTGTATCGTAAACGCTACATAACCATATCTTACTCCCTATCACATCAAACTAGTTTTCAAATATGTCTTCTTCGTTCATAAACAATCTTCAATATGTCCATCTCATTCGCAGTTTGTTCAGATCACACCATGTCGGTGTGCACACGTATTGCAATCGATATCCGATTGCACAACGTCGTATTAGTGCGTCCGGGTCGTCTTAAGTACGTTGTCACTCGTTCTGAGTGCAGAACGTAACGTCACCAGAAGATTTTGAGCATGCTTTAAGTTCTGGATGACCTACTCGTTCAGGTAGTTAGATAAAGTTTGTAAACAGACCCCAAACGGTAGTACGTCATATCCGTTCGTGCACAGTTAAGCCCGTTTTCTAGAACATAGTGAGAACTAGTTTGGTGTGATAGTAGGGTACTATCTCATCAAACTAGTTCTCACAGCTTCTAGGTCGAAAACGGGCCTAAAATGTGTACAGATTTAAACAGATTGGGCGTACTTCGAACCGTGTGGGGTATAGTAACAAACTTCTGGAACGTACTCGAACGGGTAGGTCCTCAAGAACTTAGTGCATGCTCAAAAGAACGATTTTGGTTTGGAGAACCAAAGACGATTTTCGGTTTGGAGAACCAAATTCATCTGCATATTTCGACATTATCAATGTCGCCAAAAATGTTCATATTTTTACCTATTGTAGATTTAAATGTCCTCTTTTGTATACTCTAGTTCTAGTGATGGTAATATCTTTAATTTTTTCATAAAAAATATAAGCAAACCCCCTTCGTAGTTTTCATGATTCGTCCAAACTTTTGAGCAACATGTTTTTCTTAATTCTGTTGGACGGATGTAAAATAAATATGCTTATTAGACATATTGAAAAACAATAAATTCTTCAGAATTATGCAATACATGTTGTACAAATCATGAAAACGACGTAGGGGGAGGGGGGAGGGGTTCGCTTATATTTCTTTATGAAAAAATCAAAAATATTACCAGATTACTTAAACTAAAGTATTCAAAAGAGGACTTTTAATCTATAATACGTAAAAATATAAAAATCTTAACCTGAACGAACTGAAGAATGAAATGGACGTATTGATGACTGGCTATGAACGAAGTAGCTAATAATGTTACCCTACTATCACACCAAACTAGTTTTCACTTCGTTTTCGAAAACGGGCTTCAACTGTGTACGAACGGACTGGACGTACTTAGAACCGTTTAGGGTCTATTTACAAACTTCATAGAACGCACTCGAACGGGTAGGTCCTCTAGAACTTAGAACATGCTCAAAATGTTCTCGTGGTCGATACGTTCTACAATTAGAACAAGTGACAATGTACTTACGACGAGCCGGACGTAATACGAACAGAACCGTCGTACTTTAATCCTACTAGGGACCTTTTAACAACGAGTTGAACTGTCTGAGGACGTATTAAGAACGAAGTAGAACTAATTGCAAACGTGTTTAAACTAATTAGGAACGTATTTAAAACGCAAAAATATAGCTATCACATCAAACAAGTTGCCATTGCGTTCTTCAAAACTGTTTTTAAACTGTGTGCGAACGGTATGAACGTAGCTGCAACTTTCCAAGGTCTATTTACGAACTTCATGAGCGTTCTCAGACGGGAAGGTGATTTTAGAATTTTGAATCGGTTCAAAATTCGATGGCGACCATACCGTTCTGTAATCAGGTCATGATGACCTTCTAGACTAAGGAACGCGTTATACGACGTTGCACACCGACGTGGTGCGACCTGAACGAACTGCGAATGAGATGGACGTATTGAAGACTGTTTATGAACGAAGTAGCTAATTATTTTTCGTAGGACTGGCAAGAACGGGTAAGAACTAGTTGGGTGTGATAGGGGGGGGGGTTAGACGCTTTTCCCAACCATAGCCAGACGTAGCCCGTTTTACGACAATTTTGTGTAAAATCACACCAAACTAGTTCTCACTATGTTCTCCGAAACGGGCCAATATAGCACTAAACAAAAGTTTCAAAAAGGCATAGTAAGCCTTTAATGTCCTGTTTAAGAACCCTTGTCTAACTTTCGAAAATGGATTCTACCAATACTATCCAACACGAATCTACTTCTTAGGATTCGATCAACTTGAGTTCTGAGAAAATCAAGATTTCAGGAAGGGTACATTGGCTTTACATGGTGACATAGCTGATGGTATCCACACAATAAGTCATTGGTCAATGGTGTGTCTCCATGTTGAGTTAATGCACCCTTGCTAAATCCTCATTTTCTCAAAAGAACTCAAGTTGATCGAGACTCAACAAGTAGATTCATGTGGGACAGTTTTGCAAGAATCCATTTTTAAAAGTAAGAATATGGGTTATTTAACAGAACATTGGACTTGCTTTGCCGAACTTTTGTTGGTACTAAAACATTGTACGAACGTACTTCGACCATACTAGGGACGCGTTAACGACGTTGTGTAACTAACTACGGGCGCAAACCGACATAGTGCGACCTGAACGAACTGCGAATGAGGTGAACGTATTGAAGAGTGTTTGTGAACGAAGCCAGTTTTACTCAATTCTTGTAGGACTGGAAAGAACGGTTGACAACTAGCTTGGTGTGATAGGGGGGCGTATATATACATATACATGATATATAGATGCTGGTAATTTTGGTTGTAGGTTCCCCAGACGACCACAAGGCTCCTCCGTTCTGCGAAATTAATGATCCAGGTAAGCGTTTGAAATAGTTCTGTCGTGAGATTGTTCAAAATAAGACAATGGTTAAGCCGATAGATTGCTGATGTCAAAGAAATTATTTTGACTTTTGATTGAAAATTCCACATGGGATATTCAATGCAAAACATTTTTAGTTCTAACTAACAATATGAACAAAGATCATCACCCTTCATTCAACAGTAATCCCGATTTACTTTTTCAAAGCAAAACGAGTGGTGATCATAAGCGTCCATTACTTATTGATCACTCTCGTAACGCCTTATATCCACATTTTCCAGATACTGAATGTTGTCAAGGTGTTTTTGACAGAAATACCCCTGCAAGTCAGAGTCAACCGGGAGTAAAGTACATCACCAAACTTCCAAACACAAACACTTGTAAGTAGAAACTATCACTACTGTTGGTTTATAATGTTTATGAAATGTTCGGGGCAAATATTAAAGCATGAAGTATTAAAAGGTAAGCTACTAATTTAAAGATTGTCTTAGTACCAACGTTTTTTGACTAACATTCATTTCGTTTGATAACCTTACCTAAATCATGATCATGATTTATACATCATTTTAGGGAAATCGTCTATTTTAGCATCTATGATGTAAGCAGAGGCACATTTAACATGCTAAAACATATCACTTTTAATTTTAGCTGCGTATAAAATCTGTACTTCGGATGACATTAATTATTGTCCGGATGCTATGGATTTTGATCTAGCAACATGTTGTTGCGAGGAAAATATAAAAGGCAAGTTCTTACGTCATTCAATACAATTCCCATATGAGTGTATTGGCTCTTCGCATCAGCCCTTATGCCAAAGTCACTTTTACGCCGGACGCCAGCCGATTAGTAGGAATCGGCTGATTTCTAGATGTACTTCTAGAGGTGACTTTTTGCGATGTTTAAAATTCGCTTTGGGTATGGTCGCTCTTGCCATCACACGGCGCTCGCAATTAATTTACCGAAAAATCTAACAGATTGAGAAAAATCAAAAAGTTGAAAAATCAGGAAAACATCAGCAGCTTTTATACCTGTTGAAAAAATCAGCCGATGCTTCCCGATAACCACTCTGCGCCCGAACGGTGCACGGGTTTGCTGGTCAACGTTTAACACAAAGTTACTGTCATCAATGGTGAATATCATTTTTGAGTTAGTGTATTATCAACTTAAGTTATAGTCATTCTAAGTGAAACTGTTTTCTTTAAAATTCCTCTAAAAAAGATTAATGCGTGTGTCTGAGCATTTTTTCCTGGCTGTTAATTACAATTGTTACGTTATTAGTTTGCATAGCGAAACATTTGTAATCAAGATTCAACTTAGTTTAGCTGAAATCGTTGGTTTATCAAAATCGAAAGAATTTTGGCCACCATCTTGAATGATACTAACTGCAGTTAGAGTCATCCAGCTGTGGAACAGTGTTATTGGAAATCGGAGCAAATTTGACCAAGGCATTAGGCATTAGCAATTATTTGGAATTAGTATTAGTATTTGGAATTAACTGTCCTGTGCGTCATGTTAGTTTATGCTTACGCTTGTATATTTACAATTGTTAATTAAAACATCGCCTCCTTGTTTTCAGAGATGTGCAATTGTTATGATTGGCAATTCAAGAGAAAGGATTCCTTTGTTGATGTTGACTGCGGCGCAGTACTGAACAAGGGTAATTGCAAGGTCAACAAGGATCTAAATGCGACAGAGGGCATAGTAAGTGAATAAAGAAATGATGCATCGCTATATCTTTTTTATTTTGCACCCCTTCCCCTTCGGGTTTCCAATCGCAGGTCTCCTTCTGGATCACGTGTTAAAGCCTGTTTGTTTGGCGATTTAAAAATCATCGTTTGTCATGTTAATTCCGAATTACAGTAATAGAGGCACAACATTAAGATTCAAACATTAAAATGCTTAACATGCTAACCAGTTAATTCATGTTGCCGAAACTTATGGATGGGAGTGTACGTTTGATTGTACGTCATATGAAGCTGCTCAATTTGTGTTCTTTGAATATTATTCCAGGTTGGACAAAATGGTACTGAACTAGACACGTACGCTAGATGCAGCGGCAATCAGGGAATGGAACTAGACATATTCAAAAAGGGATACTTTGGAAACAAGTTTGTGTTCGCGATGTACTTCAGGTAACTCATACGATTATCTTTTTAATAACGATACTAAGATTGATCCAAAAGTGCTGCAAGATTATGATCAGCAATTGTAATTATGTATTCACTTCGTTCTGGCTTTCGATGGTATATTACAACATATTACAGAGACAGAGAACAGAGACAGCACAAACAACAGATTACGGAAAATTACGAACGTAATATTAATTCACTTACAGTCATATCGTGTGAATTCTTGTTGAACTCACAAATGTTAATATTTGATTTGGAACAGGTGTGACGAAGATAGTGGTAATTGTGTTGACGGTTTGCTGCTGGACAACGGTGTTAATGCTGCAGGGCAGGGTATCACTCCAACAATTGTATCCGCTATTCCCGGGACTTCAAACACTGTTACGGTATGAAAGCAAGTAAAAATACAGACTCTTGTCTTGGTTGTCTCTTTCCTTACCTCGAGAACATGAGCAAAAGTGTAAACGCTGAAACAATGACAGTTTAAATAACGTGAATACAAAAGTGCTAGGAGGACAAGTTGTGACGTTCGTTGTTATTTGTGTTTGTGGAAGTAATATGGGCATATTTGCTTTCAGACGATGATTGGTGAAACAACATTCGAAAATCCACTAACCGAGGTAGGAGTCGAGTGTACTAGAAAGCTTATGCTCCCCAATTTATAACGTATTCTGATTGTCACTTCTTTGACATCTTATATGAATTGATGAGCTCATAGTGCGATATTTTCCTAATATTAAAACGCACCATTACTAGTTCTGTGCTCATTTCTGCTTTTCAACTAGCAATATACAAACAGAAGATTATAATTTCTCATGATGACCATGACTTTATAACTAGAATAAATTACGTCTCAACCACTCTCTGTTGTACTTTTGTCAAAAAAATATTTGGTGTTATCTTTGAAATTGAAATTTCAGAGCTCCACCGACTGGCATTACTTGGTCATCAATTGTGATTGGAACGCTTTGCGGTACGTCATCGAGTGTAAGACCGAAGTCGGCACCCAGAACAGAAGAGGAACGCCAGTCGTACAGGACCTTGAGCGAGATATGTACGGTAAATATTCAAATGTACACATAGCGAGTGGGCCATTTTATATAGCATATGATGATGCATCAATGTAAAGATACTTGTGTATGTGAGGTAGGGCTCCATTCTTTGGCAATCTGGATCTAATTAATGGCATTCAAGTTTCTCTACATTTTTTCCCCTAATACATATTGCAGACTCCTATACCCCAGATTCTTTCAAATGTATATGATACTTGTCATCTCAGAAATCAAATTATTTGTAATGGTAAATCATATCAAGTTCAAATGAAACCGCTACAAACAATATAAAGCAGGACAAAGTGGGAACAGCAAAGCAAAAGTGTTTGCCAACAGCAGTAATTTGAATAAACAAACTCAACCTTTTCTATTCCCATTCCTAGAAATTAATATTGAGTGTTTGCTTTTGTTATGTGATAATTTTGCCTTTGTTTTTCTATGATATTAAAGCGGATTTTCGGATGCACGTGTTTAACATTTGAAGACAGATATTGTTTGCATGGAGAAAAATATTTGATATTATTCGAATTAAAGAAAAATATATAATTTTACATTCGTATATCGCAAATATATAAGGGACCATTTGATACTCCTGCTAAATAAATAAAAATGTATATTTATTATTATTATTTTATTGTAGCTCTCGAAGGAACAAAATGCCCCCTTACCGTTGGTCAATTTACGGGAGATATTGATGACGTAAGTAGGTCACGTGTTAAAGTGAGAATCACAACTCAATGGTGTAAGATCGGCATCGATTAACTATTTCCAATCGTTCTTTATCAATTGCAATTATAGTTTATTTATATTGTCCAACAGGGCATTGTTCAATAGAAGGGGTCATTCTAGATAACATAAAATATGTACACGATTGTTTTTTCCAGTTTGTCATTTGTCAGTTCCCTTGGACTGATGACGACACTGCAGATTGGATCAATAACCCTGACAAGGTGCCACGAAACAGGCATTAGACTGAACGAAAAGACTATCCATTGTTACTACATTGTCGGATACCCCATCTGGTTCAGATATACGTGTCTTTTGTTTATAAATATGTTTTGTAAAAAATGAACATGTCCAACCCATTTGTTCCATGGTCATGTTCTGGTAAATTGAACCAATAAACTTGAGAACTGAAAAATTTAATTTTTATAATTTATGTTTTGGTTTCTACTTACTATAATTTGTATAAGGACGTTTGGTCACCTTGTGCGCGGCAAAGGATAATTAGATTTTTGAATAACAGTGGTAATAAATGTATAAAAATAGAGTTTTGAATAAGGACAGGTTGAAATTGTATTATCGTTAATCATATACACTTGCAGTAAAACCTCTCAAGTGGAACACCTCCTAGAACCTTCATTTCGAAGGCAGATACAGGTAGATATAATTATGGCCCTCGTGAAAGTATTTAGACTAATAATACTGAAATGTTTAAAATGCTGTTTTGTTAAACTACTTTTAAGTATCAGATGTAGGACTTTTCATTGAAATATATTTCAAACAGGTGAGGCATAAAGCATCCATTGCCAGTGGGATACATCTTTGACATTGCGCTGTTCTCTTCCACAGTTTGTGACATATCCTGGCAGAACCTGTTTTGTATATACTCTCCTTGACACATATCTATTTTTTATGAAATTAAGCAGGTCCGTGACGATACATTCACATATAGCAGTGATGAATAATGTAATGTATATCAGATAGTCCAGGAAATCGACCAAACTTTATGCATATCCTACGCTTTTCAAAGAGCAGTTTTATAGATTTCTTATGAAGTTTAGCGGGTCCATTACGATACGTTCATGTATTTCAATGAACAATGGAATGTATATCAGATAGTCCAGGAAATCGACCAAACTTTATGCATATCCTACGCTTTTCAAAGAGCAGTTTTATAGATTTCTTATGAAGTTTAGCGGGTCCATTACGATACGTTCATGTATTTCAATGAACAATGGAATGTATATCAGATAGTCCAGGAAATCGATCAAACTTTATGCATATCCTACGTTTTTCAAAGAGCAGTTTTATAAATTTCTTATGAAGTTTAGCGGGTCCATTACGATACGTTCATGTATTTCAATGAACAATGGAATGTATATCAGATAGTCCAGGAAATCGACCAAACTTTATGCATATCCTACGGTTTTCAAAGAGCAGTTTTATAGATTTCTTATGAAGTTTAGCGGGTCCATTACGATACGTTCATGTATTTCAATGAACAATGGAATGTATATCAGATAGTCCAGGAAATCGACCAAACTTTATGCATATCCTACGTTTTTCAAAGAGCAGTTTTATAGATTTCTTATGAAGTTTAGCGGGTCCATTACGATACGTTCATGTATTTCAATGAACAATGGAATGTATATCAGATAGTCCAGGAAATCGACCACACCCTTGTGTTCTCTGTTAAATTTGCTCATAACCTGGAAATAAAGTGCATACTTTACAACCACGGAGAAACAAAAATATCAAAATTCAAATGATTCGAAAGCATGTTTTTGGAATACAAAGTTTCGTGCGCACATGAATATGAGAGATGTTGTGAAATGAGAAAATTACTTGAAAAGAATTAAAGAAATAGTTCTTACATATTCAGTGTTCTCTGGTGATACACCTCCCGCAATGAGGTCTATCCCAAGGTTCCTAGCTGAAACCTTCCCCGTTGGAACATCAAAGTCCTTCTCGTCCAATAAATAAAACAGCTCCTTTAAGACAAATTTAAAGCAAATTTTCATAAATCTACATATAATAAACCGTATTTTAAGTAAACTTGGGAAATATAAATCGACCGATAGATCTGGACACTTTGAACATATAAATGCTAGTGTTTATTTTGCCTTAAATCATCTGTTTAAGCAATGATCGTCAGCGTTAATGATGATGGCTGCTCATACGGGACACTGATATAAACAACTTTAAACAACAAATGGCACTTCACATGACATTTTTTACCTAGAAATATTTTCTTTTTAGGAATATGTAACAAGCTCATCAATTCATGGGTTTGTTTGTTTGTTTGATTGATTGTGTGTTTGTTAATTAATATGTCAATCAAACTAACCCTGTGCTTACCTTACAACGGTCTGTTTTAATGGTCAATGCCTGGAAGTCCAACTTATTGATCAATTTCCGTACCAGTGGTCTGCAGATAAAAATATATTCACTTGCCATATACTCAATATATTTTGTTTAAAACGAGTCTCATATTTTAATGTAAACATATTGCTTTTATAATAGCATATAGTGTCTTGAACTCAAAAAATACTTACTCAACTTGAGTAATTTTCTCAGACAATGCAGCAACGGCACTGAATAATTTGAGATTAATCCTCCTCCTTCCAGGTAGATCTAGAACCTGGAATTGCACCAATATACTTAACATTAACACTGCAGCAAAAAATAATTATTACATTTTATTAATTACTATATACTACACTAAGTTGAACGCTAAATAAATGGTTTTTCAAATCATAAAATATGTAAGCACATGTGAAAAGGAGAAACACAAAAAACATTGTTGAAATAAAACTAAGTACAAAAATAGAAAGGGTGTGCAACCAGATATAACAAAACGCAACATCCAAAATAATAATATAACTAATAAAGAATGTCTTCTCAAAGAAAGGAAAAGAAAATCTCTAAGTTAACTGACCAAACTTTTGAAACAAATTAAACAATCTCCGACTAAACAGAACACTGTTCAAGAATAAAACTCACAAATGGAGCAATATTATATATAACCATAGGATGAACTTACATGGAATATGAATGCCATTTCACTTTGCGAGATGAGATTATTGTTGATGTGTTGCAAGGCTTCCTCAACCTCAACCAGGTTCATCTCTAAATCCTCCTGGGGGTTCAATCTTTGATAGAGGGCGCTCTGTTTACGGAGGAACTGGGCATCGTTAGCCTGATCAATCTCATTGCGATGGAATTGATCCCTACTATATACCAGCATCAATTTCTTTTCGTCTGTCAAACAAAAATGATTAACATGTAAAAACAGTTTTCAATTATCCTTACATTTTTTTAATGCTAACGATTTGATTGGTATATTTTAATGAATTACCTGGTGTACATATTTTTTGCTAAATATATAAGATTATAGAAAGGAATATGTTACCTTCGAGGTCTTCTATCCTATCATCAATCTCGTGTATCTTTTCTTTCATTCTTTCTAACTCAAGATTCATTTGGCTTATATCTGGGTCCGCCTCCAACTGCAATGTCATAAAGACAGTCATATCTTTAACCATGAATACTTTCTGGGCATAAATACAGTGGTGTTTATTAAAACAATGTGTTTCTTTCAAGTGAAAGCTTGACATTTAATTTGGTCAAATTATGAAATTCCCACTGAATCAACCGACTCCCTTTCGAGTTTAATATGTGATCTTAAACTTTACCACAGCGAGACTATGCGTATCTAAACGTTCAATGATCATTTCATTGGTTAGAATACGAGGTGAAGTGGGTTCCTCCTCTGCCTGCTCAGTCTCAGCATCACCCGCTGTCTCTTTAGTTTTGGAAGATTTATTCTTCTTGTCTTTCTTCTGAAATAGGATATTTGTGAGAAGTATAAGTAAATTTTTGTCATAAAAGTGAGTTTGATTGGTCTAGGTTTTACTAATTTTTGCTCATTTGTAATTATTAGTTATATCTTGAGGCATTTACCTTTCCTTTTTTCTTTGGAGCAACATAATCGGATCTCATAATTTCAGGGTGGTGCTTGCGTATCATAGTTATCAATCGGGAGTTTTTGTCGGCTGGAAGATAAAATTCAAATATTTCAATCTCTTACCCTGGTCCAATATACCTCAACTATAAAAATAACAATTTGTATCATCAATATACCTTCTTATCTGTAAGTATTAAAAATATATGACTATTATAATTAGCAGCATTTTAAGTCCTAATAATAAGATGTGTTGGCCTGTTACGTCTATTGACAGAAAATAATGTTCGTATCAAAGTGAATTGTTGGTGTAACTGGTGTGTTGGTTTGGTATTTAGAAGGATTAGTTCATAATTTGCTTTGCCTCATCAACAGGGTTTTACCATGTATTGCTGAATATCTCCGAACGTACCTTTCAGTTCATCAAGCTTGGCCTGAATGTTGTCGTAACGGTCGTAGTAGTTATCCAGTGTATATGAGAGCTTATTAACATACTCGTCGGACTCCCCTAGTCCCTGCATAGCAAAAATGTAACCATAGTTATAATAAGTTATAATTCCAGTTATTGTACACAAGACAGACCACGATATACCGAGAGAAATTACAGAAGTAGCATGTACTGAATTGAAAACTAACTTAATTTCAATTCATCTTTTGCATACATCTGCAGTTTTAGGTTTTTGATTATAATTTCCAGGGAATTCAAAGACACATATTTGTTAATTTAGGTAATAAACATATACTCACAGTTGCACCTTTGTAAGCGGGAACCCTGTTGATAAGAGTGTGGTCCGTAATCATTTTCACTTCGTGTGGGGTTATTGCACCATGACCCAAACTTTGTAATTTATCACCATCAGCATCAGCTTAAAAATAATGAAGTTAACTAAAGCTACATTGCAAAACAAAAAAAGCTGGACAATAAGATTCTTGTTCTCAGAAGATAATACATTGTTACATATATATATATGCATGTACACAGTATGTTAAATACTTACTATTTCCAATAACCATTAGCATATCGGGTAATTCGGTACTGATTGGCTCAGTTTGTCCTTTTGGTATTCTCGATTCTGGTATGTCATCATAAGGGTAGCCTTGGTTGGCCAGGGTACGGTTAAACACCCTCTCATAGTACGGCATCCGCTCAGGTCTATGATGCAAAACATATAATAGTGCGAGATAATGTTGGATTACTATAAGTAATAACGAGAACATCTGGATTATCATAGTGAAAAACAGTAAGGCTAATACTAATAAACATTTTTTCAAGAGCACTGGGCAGACAACACCAATTTCAATTTGACTTAAATATTTCATTGAACTGACAAATAAACATTAAACGTTTTATTAAAATGATGAAATCTCAGATCAGAGATCAGAGTTAAAAGACAAACGCGGAAAATCAACTACTTACTGTATGATGCAATATTTAGCAAGGTAATTCAAGGGATCATGCATCGTCCTAAGATCCTTGGGTTCCTCGTTGGCATTGGGAACATTTCTAGTTCGTCTTCTTTTTGGTTGCCTAAAAACGTCAATTACACTTGTATGAGTTAATTATGAGTGAGGTGATAAACAATTTTAAGTTAAGTTTAAAAAAACTCAGGCTGTACATTATTTGAATTATTATGCCTATGATATATTTGATAATAGAATGGTGATACTAACGAGGCTCTCTTTTTAGCTAACAATTCAGTATTCGTTGGCTTCTTCTGTATGGGAGGATGTTCAATGACAGGTTTCTTCTCTATGGCTGTCTTATTGTGGTTGTGCTTTGAGGCATCCTAAAAGGCAAAATTGAATTGATGCTTGACTACTTAAGAGTAGACTTTCTTAAAACAAAAAAAACAATGTTTGACAAATTACAAGTCATTAATGGACAAGAGATCGATTCAATAAATTACCTCTGGAAATAGCGGCAGCTTTGGTGGTGCAACAACTGGAGCAACCGGAAGTTTTGGAGGCGCCATTTTGATTGGAGGAGGCTTGAATCTAATTGGTGGCAGCGGTTCTCCTTTTGTTACCTGTAATGTAATTTCTATTAACAATAGTTTCTCATTAAGGAGTCATCATTTATTCATGGTCGAATAGATCATTACATGATGTTACTATTCGAAGTATGTCTCCAGTCATGTCTTTTTCTATATGTCCTGAACTTACCACAACTGCTGGCGTTTGTGGTTTTGAAGGTGGTGGTGTTTCTGGCTTTTCCACAGGGGTCGGAGCTTTCTCTACAATGACCTCCTTTTCCTTTTTCTTGACCGGTTCCTTCTTCTTGGGTGCTCCCGCTCTCTTCCTCTCGGTGCTTTTCTTACTTTCTTTGATGCTATAGCGAGGTAGCTTAGGGACAGTTGGCTCGGTCTCCTTCACGGCAGGTTCTAAATCACAAACAATGTAAAATTCCATAAAGTATTTCAACATAAAGGAACTCCTTAGGGGGGTACATGGGCAAACCAGGGAGCTTCCTTTCAATTTTAAAACGAGTTGTATACCATAGATCTATTATTTTAAATGTTAAGGTTTAAATTATATTATATTCAAATTCTATCACTGTTAACGATATATCTGTTTTAAATGGGCTTATTAGCTTTTTGCAGGTTAATGATGTAGATAATCCTATATTATAAATGGAGTGACACAAAAATGGTATCTCTAATTTTGGAATTAACAGTGAAGAAACAGTTCTATACATCCACCAAATCCAAAAAAATTGTAATTTAGAGATTTCGCTGTGTGTAAAGTCGTCCAAAAACGTTATGTAGGCACATCTTCGACTACCAATGTGGTCATAATACACTTGGTGAAGTTGGAGTTCCTGAAACCTTGTGGAGTGAATCAAGATTACTTATGCTCGGGACTTATGCATCCATTCGGAAAACAAAATTTAATCAAACTGATTACCTGGAGTGGGGTCCTTGATAGGAGTTACAGCAACTGGTTCTTCACTGAAATCTTCCAGTTCTGGATCATGGAATATATATCCATGATCTGAAAAACAAGTAAAAATTAATAACCTAATCATTCTATAATGTTGAAATATATGATATAATGTCATATATATAGCAAATTACATACCACATTCGGATAGAACTGCAATGATCCTTTAAGGTCTACCCTTAAGTATTAAATCATAGTGGATCTGAAAAGTTACCCTTCCTTGATGTAAATGGACTTATGCGATAATCCCATTCATGTCCATGGTAATCCAAAAGCTTCTATACAGGTCTGAATGGTGAGACTGAGCGTCTTTATGGATATATATTAATTTGTAAGGCTTACATATATTGATCATAAAGACCTGAATATACATCTATCCTGACTAGACGTAATTTAAGTGGATTATAATGGGATTATAATAAACAATTGTAGTATCGTTGCCTTCCGTAATCAATTTTTATTAGAATATAATGAGTTAATTGAAAGTGGAATGGGAATATGATTAAAGGCACCGAGGGGGTAAATTTTATTGCCCCACATTATGGTTGGGAAGAAACGATCGTGATGCTTTGATTGAAGGGGCTTTTACTTTTGATACTTAATATCTGGAAAGTGGTTATATATATAACTGTGTATTTCATACTTGAGTGGGTTTGGGGTAGATATCACCCGGGAATATACATCATATCTGAGGAGCGGGCAGGATATATTGTATATGTCCCGCTCTAGGCCAAATGCGGGCAGATATAATATATCCATCCCGCTCACGGGAATTTTTTCAAAAGTTTAAAAAATTTAAAAAGTTAAATTTCAGAAGTTTAAAATTTTTCAAAAAGTTTAAATGTTATAATTCTATTGTATTGAACTGAAGGAATATTATGAAAATGTTAAATATAAATTGTGCTTTTACAGTATAGGCCTATCTTGTCATTTGAAAAAGGTGGTAAAGGTTATATCTACCCCAAACCCACTCAAGTATGAGATACACCAGTTATGTACGGTCGGTTTTGGATACAGTGTTTATCCCGCGGGAAATATGTGTATCTCCCTCGGTCCCTGCGGTCCCTCGTGAGATACACATATTTCCCTTGGGATAAACCCTGTATCCAAAACCTCCCAGTACATAACCCTTATATATGCTAAAGTTAAACTTTAATATACTTACCCGTTTCTGGTGTAATGCTGGTATCCACAACTTCTTTCTTTGGCCCGTCATCCATAACGGGACTTGGTTGTTTTTCCTCTGTTGGTTCAGTTGGTTCTGGATCTACAATATGAAAGGCGTGTACCAATTGTTGGCAGCTGACGATTGTCAATATCAATATCTACTTACACTTCATGACAAAATGTTATCATCTGGTTGTTCTTTATTTAATTTGATTTCATATTATCAAATATTATAATGTATAATATAAGTCACAGGGTTTCACTTATTTTATATGTTGATTACTTCGAAATGTTGTTTTCAACCTATTAATTGTAATATGTTTATCGACTCAATGCTAAGTGATTTTGACTCAAGTGCAGAACATACAAGGCTAAAACGTCGAGGATTTCCGAATCAGAAACATACTGAAATCACTCTGTAGACTTTAGAGTATTCTATCAATGAATGCATATAGTAAATATACTGTATACGTCATTTCATGGGCAAAGCCATTGAAGCAACATGTCATTTTATTATATGGCAATGGATCATTGATAGATACCTCGTTTTAATTAAGTCACATTTTATCTCAGATGGAAGATGTCAAGTTATCATTTGGTGATGGTGGTTAAATGCACAAACTAATACATTGCACTTTGGAATATGGTGTGTGATATTACTTGAGAAAAACACAAAGTATAACAGGCCCGTAGCCAGGGGGGGCTCTGGGGGCTCGGACGAGCCCCCCCCTGATATCTCCTGAAAAAATGTGGACCTACCTTTTTGCTTCCTTGAAGAAAAACGTGCTCTTCCCCACATTCACTGGGCAATTAAGATTTTAAAACTGGCATTACTGTGCATTGTTTTTCGAATTTGGGCATTATTTTTCAAAAGTTGGCCCACTTTTTTTCATGGACATATTTGTGCCCCTTTCCCTCTTTTTTATGATCGTCCTTTGTGTTTTGTTAAACATAGCCCTAGGATGGGCCCGGGAAGAAATGTTGGCCCAAACATATTGAAGGGCCTCTTTAGTGGGCATTTTTGGGCATTACTTGACCTTTTGGGCCTTATTTTTTCAATTTCAGGCCAAATTTTCAAAAACGGGCTATTAATTTTCAAAATTTTGGCCCCAATTTTGATTTAAGGGCCCTAAAAAATTTTACGCGCGGCCCTAGGATGGGCCCAGAAAAAAATGTTGGACCAAAAATATTGTAGGGCCTCTTTAGTTGGCCTTTACTTGACCTTAATGGGTTTTTTTTTATCAATTTTAGGCTAAATTTTCAAAAAACGGGCCATAAATCTTCAAAACATAGGCCCAAATTTTGGTTCTAGGGCCCTAAAATGAGTTCCGCATGGCCATAGGATGGGCCCTGAAAAAAATGTTGGCCCAAAAATATTGTAGGGCCTTTTTAGTGGGCCTCTTTGGGCATTAATTGACCTTTTGGGGCTTTATTTTTTTTCGATTTAAGGCCAAATTTTCAAAAAACGGGCCACAAATTTTCAGAACTTTCGCCCGAATTTGGGTTTTTAGGGCCCTTAAAATTTTACGCGCGGCCCTAGGATGGGCCTAGGAAAAAATGTTGGGCCAAAAATATTGTAGGGCCTCTTTAGTTGGCCTTTACTTGACATTTTTACTTGACCTTTTTGGGCTTTCAAGGCCAAATTTTCAAAAAACGTGCCATAAATTTTCTAAATTTTGGTTCTAGGGCCCTAAAAGTTTTTTTTGCGCGGCCAAAGGATGGGCCCAGAAAAAATGTTGGCCCAAAATTATTGTAGGGCCTCTTAGGTGGGCCTTTTTTGGCATAACTTGACCTTTTTGGGCCTTATTTTTTCAAGATTAGGCCAAATTTTCAAAGAACGGGCCATAAATTTTCAGAATTTTGGCCAAAATTTGGGTTTTAGGGCCCTTAAATTTTTTCTGTTGACTGGTCCATTTTGAGCATCACTTGACCTTTTGGGCCTTGTTTTTTCAATGTTAGTCCAAATTTTCAAAAAACGTGCCATAGATTGTCTAATTGTTGGTCCAAATTTTGGTTTTATGGCCCTAAAAAGTTTTTCCGCGCAAACGCGGATATTTTTTCCTGACTTGAAGTGTGGGTCCCCCCTTCTTGGCTTCCGGATCCGCCACTGTCCTTTACAATACAAAGGGGCTTGATGTAGCATGGGGAATTTTCTTTTTTTGGGGGGGGTTGCGGGGGGTAGGTTCGAGCCCCCACTTACAAAAAGCTGGCTACGGGCATGTATAAAGCGTCATATCACACACAACACAATGGAATGACCGAAATTAGTAATAGACATTGACAACTAGACTAACCCTTGAAACTGAAATAAACGTGTGTTAATCAAATTAATCACGATTTAGTGCAATAGAAATCATTGCTACGATTATCCTATGGCATGGTACGATGGTTACCACATATAAACTGTATAAATTGACACAAACAAGTATGTGCTTAGTAATAAACCTCATAATAATAGCACAAAACAATTTTATCATTCAGGTGTAATCCGCTTTAACGTTGTTGTTAATGATGACGTCGCTCTTCATGAATTTAATAGAGGGCAAACAATAAGACTATTGTCATGAAAATACTTATAGGGAAAATGTACATTTAATGCCGAAACAATATAACCTTATAATACGTCAAATAAACGTTATTATTATCAGGTGTTAGCCCTGGTGCATATTTGTCAGGGAAGCATAGTTTAGTTATCACAAAAATTCAAAGCCACAAAACATTTCGGCCACACCACAAAGGACAGACATTCCACAATGTTATAAACACAAAACACAATGATGCCACTTTGGTGCGCACGCGCAATGCAACATAAAATCAAACAAAAATAACAATATCACTGTAAGATTGGAATATCTTACGATAACACATGATAAAAGACAATAACACAGAGTAACATATGTCACATCACAAACGAAGCACCTGTGTAGAATTGACTCCTTGAAGAGAGTGGGGTGACATTGACAGCCTCGTGTCTATCGACATCTCCCACTGAGGGGATGGGGGACGGGGTGTCATGTATATCTATGGGTGAGGGTAGAGGGGCACTATGGTGCAATTCTATGGTGGGGGTAGGGATCTTAGGGGATCCATTATCTTTTATTTCCAGGGACGTCTGTGTGTGAAGTACAACTACTGGAATAAGAAAAGATTTATATACTTAATTAGTGGTAGATATGATATCATCTGCTCCTAAGTGCGCGGTTTGTCAAGGTCTCTCAAATGTAGACGTTATTGACATGAGGCTGATTTATGGGGACTTTGGCGTCCATTATTATTCAGAGTGTAATTTCACATAAGTTAATAATAAAAGTTCTAAAATTAATGATCCTTACTTCCTCATTATAGTTTTGATATGCGATGTGTTAGTCTTTATTCTAAACAAATCACTGAATCATGACGGATTTAATAACTGAAAACACCTCCTAGATTTAGTCACACACACATGCGTGATCGTATTTTAATTATTCCAAATCGGTGATGAGTTTTCAAATCATAATAGCCAATGACCAAATCAAAGAAAATAATTGACTTCAATGAATACATTATCACTTTAAAACAGAGTTATGGACGGTCGAACATTTGGATCTGGTTTAAATATCCAAATTAATGTCCATAATTTTGAACTGGGCAAACGTCAAAGGGATTATATGTACTTTTCGCAATCATAGAAACCTATTTAATAGTGGGTTGTATTTAAAATCTGGACCATTGTTGTTATGATTTGACATTTCATACAAGTAAAGGTATAACCTCATTCTGAGCTTATGCTACAACGATTTGAAGTCATAAAAAATTACGATCTTGGCTGCTACCATCTTTTTAAAGTAACAGTAATGAAAACATAGTATTTCATAGCAGATTTTAGTTACAGGAGACTTAAGCAATGCATATAAAATCGAAACATCAACATATACGCACAGGTTGTCCTTTACAAATGCATTTAGTTTTCTCACATACATAATCATTCAATTATCATGTTTACTCAGTGCGTTACATAGACTACATATCATCGTGTAATATGCCATTGATAGTTCTATAGCTAGTTTTCTATGATACATGTATTTTAAACAAGATCAAGATTTTATCGTAAGATATTTGGAGCTAAAAATGTATGACACACATCATTTTCTTTAGAAAGCATTATACTGTGCATCGAATTCAACTATAATGATTCCCGTTGACACAAACGCGAATCTCCCGTTCTCAACACAGCTCTGAAGCTGATCGAGTATTAGTAGAAGTAGACTAGGTAGCGCTTGTTTTGTATGCGCGCTATATAAATTACTGTTTCAGTATTATTCATTGGCGATCACGGTTGCGTTGTGAAAAATATCGCTAGTTTAAACTCTCTACTAACAACTTTTGAGACGCTGAGTCAAACGACTGCAACGACATTTTATGAGTTTATATAAGTGATTTAAATAAAGTTGAGAATGGATCATAAAAACATAAACTAGGAACACGAGTACAACAATAACTAAAGGGATACTTATTATAATAGGTGCAGATATTGATTTAGCCGGAATATTTGATATCTCTTTACAAGGGCCAATCCTGAAGTCCTGATAAAAATCCTCTAACTTAAACGTTTATCATTCGTTTTGCACAATCTTTTCAAAGTAACTGATTCATTAATTTGCGTTCAACTAGATGGTGTGATTATAGAATTTTCTGTTGATCAATCATTCTGAAAAGTCCCTGCTGTATAGGCATATAAATAATGTAAATTGTGTAAAAATTTCAGGTGATTTCCTTTACCTACGAAAAAGATATAGCGTTTTTATCAGAACGTCTGCATCGGCCTTTGTGTATATTGGAGTAATCGGATAATAGGGACGTTAAGCATCACGTATTTTGAAGACCTCGTACGTGAACGTGAAGTATTGTCCGCTAAGACCTTCTCCCATTCGCGATCGTAGTATTTATTGGCCGATTGAATATAAAAGTATATGAAAAAAATGTAATTAGGTCCTTGGAAAAGTATTGAGAGCAGAACAGTAATCCTAAGTGGTCGTAACATTAAACGCTCGCGTAACGGATGTCTTAAAAACGTGTGGCTTAACCTCCCTATTCTCTGGCTAAATAAACGTCTTTGTCTTATTATAACTACTTGAAGTCGATATATCACATTGGAATGAATAATACTGGGTCCTGTAGCATAGTATTCACATCAATATATTTGCATCCTCAACAACATTCGTTCCAATGCCTATATCTGGCAAACTGCAAGTCACGCATGCATGCATATACGTTCTTAAACCAATCTTGAAATAAACCTTCTCTATCCGGGGAAGCAATTTGGCTGTTCTTGCTCTGTTCTTGTTTCCTAAATGCTTTGAACACCCTACTGGCCATACCAACTTCCTTTGCTTTACTTTTAAATGATCCAACTTTGGTCTTGATAAAATTAGGGGGAGTAATATGTCTTGAGTTTGTGGATGAATCAATTGGCTTGGTAGATATTTCTAATGAAGGGGTCTTTGGAGTATGAGATTTGGAGGGAGCCGTTCTTGGTTTGTGAGAGAATTGGCCTGAAATTGGTATATATTCAGTCTGGGCTATTGGAGTAATATTTGTCTGAAGTGGTATTGTGTTGGCGCCCTGAGGAGTGTTAATAATTTCGGGTCTACTTATATTTTCATCAATATTTGCTGCAGTGAGCGGGGGCTTTGGTTCACCTAAAAATTGCATATTAAATAATTAAACTGAAACTACAAATTATGCATATAAATTCAAATACATATTTATACTTTAAGCGACTTTCATTTGGAAATTAAGCATATATCTAAAGTTTTGAAATCTATGTACGCATAAAAAGCAAATTATCTAAGTAGAACTTACCATCACCTCATATAAGCAAAATCAGCAAGTCAATAAATTGAAACTTGAAAATAACTACTGTACTATTCTAACACTATGCCTATTTCAAAACAAATAGATTTTAAAACAACGAGATTGATCTTGTATATTTGTTCTAAGCAAGAAACGATGACATACCTGGTTGGGGTATAGTGACAACACCTGAGTCTGCAGTTGACGGTGGTGATTGTTCACGTCTGAAAGTCAAATGGGACAAAAAGTGTAAATGAAACGTGGTAAAATAAAAGTTGAAAAGATGTGTTACAACAGGTTACAAGAAAACAAACACCCTGATATCTCAAACAATGGATAAAAGTAGCCTATATGTCACAAATGAACCCTCTTTCCATATGGTCGCAAAACATGCGCCCTGGGTCTCGCAGCTAGATGTCAGAATTCGAATTAATTACCTTCAGCTTATTATTTTATTGTTTTTCTCACGTCAAAGTTATACCTTTTTGGATGAAAAACTTACGGGGCTGAGTTAGGTTTTGGAGAATCGATGGCTAGAGATGTGTGTGTTGAGTTCGACTTAAGTGTTTCTGGTTTAGTTGGCGGAGTCCACGGCTCAATAGGTTTTCTGATTGGTTCTTTCAGTTGAAATTGTTTTGGTTCCTACAAATAATTAATAAAAAGTATAAGTATAAATATAAACATTGCAAAACAAAAGTTTGCGTGAATACAGAAGTACAATATTTATAACTAGTCAATAATTATAATAATGAGTTGGATACCTGGTAATCCACTGGTTTGTGTTCAAAGTCCACAAACTCAGTTGTTGGTTTGTCGCTCTTTGTAACAGTAAATTCCTTGTACTTTGGGAGTTGAATATCACGATCCTTGGCGAAAGGATCTGACGCTTTTGTGACCTTTGTTTTGCCACGTTTAATTTCAAACGCTTTGGGAGCTAAAAAATAAAATGATTATCATTATATATCTGTAGAACAACTCAGTCTTGTTCTAGATGGAGCGACGGGTCTATACTGCCCCTATCGCGCTATTATTCAATTTCCAACTTTATCATTAACATGAAAAATGGCAATGGACATTTAAAAGTTCCATAAGTTCAACAGATTTTATCTTGAACAGACAACAGTAACGCAAGACAGCATTCTAGTTATACCAATCGATCATGTCAAAGTGAAAGAGCAAAGCATGGAAAAATCCATTTGTTATGACGTCATGTATTAATATGACAACAAAATAAAAACCATGGCAAACAGTAAACGCAAAAAACAACAAATACCCTTCGATACCAGTCAACAAAAAAGCTTTCAATATCAAAGGAGACATATGTACTAAAATGGAGACTTTCTATCTCGTAAAGAATGGTAAGTTTGAGGAAAGAATTTAAAAAACTAAATTGCTGGTATATATAGATAATAGTGGCCATGGCAAGACAATGTTACTTAGTATTTATCAGTACGTATCTGCCCAGTGTATTCTGTTTGTTTATAAAATTCAATGAAACTTCCGTTTGCAGAATTCTCTAACAAGTACCCATCAAACCTTGACCCATGGAGTGTTCACTGGGTAGGAAGAAAGTCAACAGTAAACACAAGAAAGGTGAGCTCAAACGACATCGACGATTCAGTATTTGCCAAGTCTCCACTTAACCTTGCAACAAAAGCCCTGATACGATCGACAACATATTCAACAAATGCGGGAAATTCGTCTGCAGAGCTAGATCAGATTTTACATATTGAAGAAATAAAAGATGGTATGAATATGTGCGATACATGGTCAGATGAAATGCATATCGATGTTGCTGATGTGCTTAGACCAAATGATAGTCCTCCTCAGATTGATGAGACAATCTTCGACAAATCTCCATTCAACCGAGCAGCCAGGTCAAGAAAAGCAAGACGAGGGAGAGCCCCCATCAACAATACAGATGACTTTTTACCAATTGGAACCCTTGTATGCAATACAATCAATCAGTCAGAAAATTATGAAAGAACCACAACGGATGCAACTTCTTGTAAAGCCTTCATTGAAACGCTCGATCCAATCAAACGTTCTGGAAAAAACGACAAAGGATGTAATCACGGCAATATAGAGGACCTGAGTACACACATAGGCATTGATAATAACCATGTTGAATCAGTAGAGATGAAGAGCACAAGAAAACGCGTCGGAAAGTTCCTGAGACGGTATTTGCAGTTTGGAGGAAAGACACAAGCTGAATGATAGCAATTCGTCAAAACAGACTTTATTTTGTATTTTTATGAATTCAAAATTATTACCAGTGTAAAATACAAGCAATAGCAACAAGAATTGTAGATGTATATGATAATCTGTAAGTTTTGTTTTGAATCACCTTTGTACAGACTCCCTCTACTTCTCCTACTGTGTCTACTACCCAGTGATAAGCCAGTAGTGTTTGCGTCTGTCTCTTCAGTACCGATATATGTCCCTGTTGTATGTGATTCAACGCCATCAATAACAGTATCAGTCTCATCTTCAGGATCAACACCAGCATCATCAACACTAGCATCATCAGCACCAGCATCATCAACACTAGCATCACCAGCACCAGCATCATCAACACTAGCATCACCAGCACCAGCATCTTCAACACCAGCATCACCAGCACCAGCATCTTCAACATCTTCAGCATCATCCTCATCAACACCAGTAGCGTCCTTCTCATATCTAGCATCTTTATCGTCATTATTAATGTATTGTTCATCATCACTTCTCCCTTCATGTTCACTCGGATCGTTTGATGTATCAATTATTTTGGCGACTACAGTTCGAACCCTCGTATCATGTAGGGATGTGTGTTGTGTTGAGGAAACAATGTCCTTGTCAATTTCGGAACCAGGTGTCCCTGCAATGTGAGAAAGGAGTAACATGAGACTCGCGAATGTATTAATATTAGTGGCACAACTGCTACAACTTTTGGACATAACTCTCAAAGTAGCTATTGTAGCGATGCATTTGTATGGGTGATTAGTCATACAGGTTGGCGCTTCGATTTTATATGCAAGCTTTAATTCCCTTATGACATATTGCGTGTAACACTCATATTTTCTAGAACATTCATAAGTTTCATGTCTCACACACAGCAGAGATAAGGGGAATTTACACTATATGCAAATGTTAGGTTTAAATCCGATCACTCACCCGGGGATATTACTTTTCCTTCTTCATCTATTCTACTTGTATCCTCTGTAAGGTAAATAGGCTCCACTTCTAAGGTTGCTGCCCTGGCTACAGGGCTGCTGCGATTGTCTACAAAATATCATAAAATCGCATTCTTCAACCGGTTGACAACAATAAAACTAAACGTGGTACTGGTTAAAACAGAGCTTGGAGTCGGTGATATGGAGTTTTCCAAGTGCAAGTTCTGAGTTATCGTTTAGTGTAAAAACAAATCGGATTTAATCTTATACATATTTTTAATACTTGCATTGTAATTTGTATAAATTATGAAAGATAGTTATGGGCTAGTCTTTAACATACTGGTTCTGGCAATTGTCAGTTGGACGGCACAAAAAGTAATAAAACTATTTTGTGTCGACCTGTTATGGGATGCTGGGACCGTGTCAACATGAAATTATGTTACATAAAAACTCTCTGATGTGTAAAATTACATCTAAAATAATATGTATTAGTATTTTTAAATTGTGCATCATTATTTATACAATCGGTGCATTTAACCTACAAAACAAAACTAAAATGTTATGTTAATGACAGTGACAAAAAGTTCTTACTCGACCGTAGTTACACTGTGCAGTGGTAAAACCTTTCCAAACCGTTCAAAACGGATCAGTTCCGATAACAAAATAGCAGCCTCGAAGGTACGATTTTTCTCATGGTCATACGAGATGTACATGTCGGTAGAATCTTCACGCCCTTTTGGTATTTGATTGAACGTGTGTCAGCATCATACGTTTAAGAAAATCTGAGCATTTACGAGGGAATAACTCCCGGGAATAATTCACGAGATGTCATCATAGATACGATAATTCCTCACTTTTGTTACGTAAACGCGGGCGTCTTTTTTTAGATTTAACGGCTTTGTTTACGTAACATTAGTGAGTAAGTTGATCATCCTGGCGTCTGACGAGCTATTTGTTCGTAAATACTTCGATTTTCTGAAATATGATTTCGACACGGTTGTGCCAAAGCAGGGTCGTGAGGATTCAGCCTACAACTCCTGAAATTACATAGAAAAAGAAAAGTCGTACCCCCGAGAGACTGTTCTATTTTGTTACCGAAACGGATCCGTCTTCAAAAAAAAGTTTGAAGAGTTTCAATACAGGGCATTAGGAAACTGGTGTAATGGGTCTATGATTTTGGTCGTCGGCTGTGGAAAAGCCTGTATAAGGCGTATGTGTTATGAGCTAGTTTATCACATGATTTGTAAGATATGATGGTAAATCGAATGTAAGACCTCATGAAATATTCGGCCCAGAATGAAGAAATCTCATTTCTCATAGCTGAGATAAACTAGTCAATATAAGGTAGGGTTAAATGTCAAACTAACTGTAGTCTTGAATCGAGGCCTTCTATTGACCTCCTAGTGTCACTAATTCAAACGTTGGGGAGTAATCGACATAAAAGGCTTATTACAAGACTGAAATCTACAAAAAAGTTGATTAAATATTAGGTAGCAGGTTAGTAGCATCGTGGAACAAAAACAGTGCATCTTACATACAAACTATATCACAATCCTTATAATAGAATAATAAATAGGTTATCATTAAAAGTGATGCGTGAATATTAGGGTTAACAGGCCACTCTTCGGTTCATCCAAATCTTTCACCTTCTGCTTGAACACCTGGTTCCTTCGAGTCCGCTGAGTTGCATGGCGTCTTGGAGGGTGGTCTACTCACTCGAGTGTCTGTGGTCTCATTCAACGATGGGTTCTCAATTAAAGAAGGTGACTTGGGTTTCATGTTTCTCATCACACCATTTAAAGTATCGTCTTCAATGAGACTCTGTTGTGAGTGTTCATCATGAAGCGGTTCTCCGAAATGAGACGACAGTATGTCATCCTTTTGGGAGGCGCTCTCTCGTGTTTTGGCGTTACTTCTGCTAGCAGTTGAGCCTGAATAGCCCGAGCCAGACCGAGATGGCGTTGGAGGGGCACTGAATGATAACTCGGATCCTGGAGATCCTAAAAGGTTAGTAAATTGAACATGCTAACGAAACATACACAGAGGAGACTTCTATCTAGCATTTTCCCACGAGGCCACCCAAATAGGACTCTGAGTCACTCATTTATGATTATTTATGCCAAACGTAATTGAGAAGGATGAAATATTTTCAGTTTCAGCGTAAATATAAACGAATACATTGTTACAGTTCTGATCTGTTCGAAAATTGAGTACATCCAATCTAGACCACTGAATACTGAAACTGAAATCTCGTCAATATGAGAAAAGATGATGGTAGTGCTGTAGAGTAGGTGACATAGCCCATGCTACTATGTAATAATTAGTGGACATTTGAAATATCACCAATCACCATACCTGTTTCTGCTAACGGGAGTAGCTGCTGCAGGTCATCGGCATATTGGACACGTTTACTCGGCGACTTTCTTTTTGTATCTATGTCTCCATCGTCCTTGGAACGCATCTGCATGTCTCCAGCAGAGCCATCTATCGTAGACTTGGCGATATTCAGACTCACTCCATATTTTCTCATATCAGGAAAGTCAATTCCTAAGAATACAAAAGGACGTATACGGGTATCAGTTTTGATGGTTGTGGTCATTTCAAAATAGACATATTGAAAATTGTGTTTAGATATATCCCAGCAGTTGAATTACAAATATAATTGTATTCTTGATATCATATGCTTTGAATATACATGCATTACCTTTGTTGTATCATTGGTGGGCAGTTCAACGATATTGTGTATCAAAGCAACTCAAATATGATTTCTAATCTTAAGTAAATATAAACCAAAAAATTATGACCCGCGTTTCAAAAACTTTACGAGAGAGCATGGATAAACGGAAAATGCATTTTTGTTTGCCACGTGGGACAATCTTTCTATTTACATTAATTAGTAATTCCTAAATTGGAGGGTTTTTCATTTTGGGGTTAATAAAGTGGAATATTGGACTTTTTTGGTATTACCATGGAGATGAATATTGCCATTATAGTCCCCCTTTGTCTTCCAATATAGAGGATTCTTCTTCTTGTCCTCCTGTTTCGGGTAATCCCTTTTGTAGTACGTGAAACCACCCCCTGTTCTCACCGGTTTCACTTTATGAAGACTGCAATGTAAAGTGACATTTGATCATTCTTTTATGAAATGCATGGACATCATCTGTTTCATAAAATGATCTATCACACTTTTGTAGTAACTCCTTATATTGTAAGAGCTCAGATCAATGGAGTGTCATAATATCAGAGCATATTGTTTATGAAAGAAAGACGCTGACCATTACAGAATGACATTTTCCAGTCTTGTACCAGTTTAAAAATGCGGAAACGAACCTTCCAACAAAAGTATCCTGGACAAATAAAAGGACAATGAATCTCTTTTCATTTGTGTGCATTTTACATGTTTATAATAATGAAGCATTTCAATGGTATTTGGTGTGATACCCCGAACGTAAGTTAAGTTACAATCTAACAAAGTAGTCTTTTGAGAAGAAGCGAAACCCATGTCTATTCACTCACTGAGGTATTGCACTCTGTTCGCACCCATAGCACAATTCATTGTCCACCCGCTGGCACCCCGTGCATAACCCCGGCCATACATAAGGGTTCTCTCTTTTCTCCGTCTCTGATAGCTCCTTGTTGTGGAGCGGCGCCGTCCATGCTATGGGCAGAAACACCTTGTCGCCTGCGTTCTCGAGGGCGTCCCTGTAGTACTGACTGGAGTGGTAATACGCTGCCGAGTCGGATGACCGCGACCTGACATGCTTTTTCTTTAGCACAGCCGTTGCTAGATTTGGCAGATTTTCTGGGAAGCTGAAACTGAAATTATGAAGGATGTGTAACTACTTGTGTATTTGGAAAATCTTTTGTTCATAATTCGGTCAATTGCCATTTTGCGGAAGTATTTAGAAAATGTGAGGTATTTAAATGGATATATGAATTGTTTTTCCTCATTTGTATGCTAAAAACTGACAATATATTGCCGTCTTTGAGTCACGTTAGCATTTATATTCAAATATTTCCCCTGTGTAACTGATTCATTAATGGTCACTTACGGAAAGCAAATCATTTAAAATTACTAAATAATGTTATTGACTCGGTTACCTTGAGGGGAGAAAGTTTTCCTCTTCTCCGATATCCTAGAAATAAAGACATGCATTTGTAATTATTGAACTTGTTGGATGAGATAATCCCATTGTGTGCACTTATTTATGCTAATTTGAGTATATTACATAAAGTTCTTTACTCGGAGAGACTGGGCCTAGTTCTGACTATGTGCAAATGAAGTTATCCTTTATGGAAGCGAAATTTAGCTATTGGAAAGGGAAAAACATTCGGTCTCATTCATTTAATTGTATACTTATTTTAATTAATCATGATGAAACTACCGTATAAAATGCCATTGAATGTGAAAAATTACATAAAAAGAACAAGTGAAGGTGTCGTACCGTATGACTCCTAAATTAGTAGGCCTAACGGTTTTAAATCTTGAAATGGAAATAGCTAAATTCAAATTGTTTTCTAGTTTGTTTATTATCTGTTTTATCTTGGAATCGTATCAAATACCTCGATTCTTGATTGAATGATATTTCTCAACCATTCATTCGCTACAGCGATTTGAATATATGATCAGAGACATTGTAAACTCATTAAAAACAAAACAAATGCATAAATTACCGCTAATGAACCGGGGAAGGAATCACTTCTCGATAAATGAGAACTGAACCCGTGCTTCAATCTACTCGCTCTGAGTCTTTCTAACTTTTCTGGGTTAACTCTTGAAAAATCAGGCCTAGCCACTACTGGCACATGGGGCAGTCTCCAGTCTGAAGAATTGCTTGGAGCACCTCCATGTTGTAATCTCCATTTAGCCTCGTAGATCTTTGTCTGGAAGACACTTTCGGTGTCCAATTCTCTGCCTCTCGTGTCTCTTAGTATGATCTTCGGCAGGCGAGGAGTCATCGATGTAGCAGTCGTGGCCAGTGATTTGGTTTCTATGGTTTGGGAGTCTTTGTGTGGACTGATCGCACTCGATCCACCGTCAATGGAAAAATATCCATGGTCTGTCATTATGGGTAGGAATGTCCTGTGGCACCACTTTATATGTCCATTGGGCTATCTTGATTTATGACGTGCTCCTCATTTCAATTAATTGACTGTTGCTTTGCGTTCGAGATCATTTTTTCATTATAAAAGAGATTACCTCTTAGGAACGGGTCCAAAGGTATTAAAAACAATGGTTCTTGTCACCTTCTCTAACTTGTATATATCACAGTTCTTAGTTGTCCATCAGTATCTTGATCTTAATAAGAACTATATCCCTAGAATATTAAGGTATGCTGGTTTGATTTTATATTCCGTTCATATACTGCTAATTTCACATAGAGTGACACTTTCAGACAGACGTTATCAGAATATTAGAAGTGCGTATATTGCTATTTCAGTTAGCATGTAAATACAAAGCCTTATAAGAAGTTATCTCTAATATTTTCTTAATACCGTAAGTCAAATGTCGAGTCGATCTATTGTGTGAGATAAAAAGTCCGTATATTCCCAAGTCTTTATAATCCTACTTCTCAGACGCTCCTTCAAGACGCTAATCTTCGCTTAGTATCTTGACTATCCTTAAAGCTTTGACTATTATGCTTTATTCATCTAAGAATTGATCTCTAATACTAATTCTGATCCATCTTTCAGCTGAAGTGATAATATTTCAAAACTTCCTTCAATTATTCAAGACCATTTTTACGGAGTTACCAAAAACAGGAGAGGTTCGACAGAGGACTATCTTGGTTACCTACTTTAAGGTTAAGAATGTTCTCCTTCAAGTAAACTCTATAGTATTGAGAGGTCCCTGTCAACGACAAATACAATGTGTGCTTTTTGCTTTGTGTACATTTTGCTTTAGGGAGTCTATGGGGCCAACTCAAACATTTACGATTGTATTTATTTTCTCTGCAAAATTCTATTATTAAAATGTTTGTACAGTTTCTATAATAAAACGTCCCCTTATAAAAGTTACAGAAAGGCTAGTTCTCTTAACAATACCTATTTGTTTAAAGAATTGAAACACGAAATGCAAATATTTTACGCTGATCTGGATTTAGAATAAACTGAACAACTATTTAGGGGAATTTAGAATAAGAAACACCAATGTCAATAGCAATTCGATCAAATATTACTCCAAACTGATACATGCTAACAACAATAACATTTAAAACAATTTATATTTAACAATTTTAACAGTTTAATTGCACACACTTAGGGACAATAATGTTTTGGGGATCGGACGTAGTCAGAGGGCGTATCCATGTCTACGACATTAGGGAAAAATTCAGTTTTGAGATAACTTTTATATCTATCACTAATTATTATATTTTATTACATTTATTTTAAGTCTCTGATTTGACATGAAGTTGGAATAGTATCGGTTATTCTGGTATCAAGATTGCATAAACCATTAGCCTGATACGAAAATGAGTTTCGGTGCCTTCGTGAGTTCATGCATGTACGTTGAGAATGGCGATAAGTTAGGTAAAACTAATTCAAAAAGCCGATTGATGACATTCAGTTGTGTTATAAATGCTTCCTAGTCAACTCGTACCCAAGCCAATTCGTACCCAAGACAACTCGTACCCAAGACAATTCGCACCCAAGACAACTGGTACCCAAGACAATTCGTACCCAAGACAACTCGTACCCAAGACAACTGGTACCCAAGATTATTTTCAGTATTATTGGTGCATATTAGGGAAAAAATTGAGTTTGTAATGCTTTTATGTTATAATGTGAATCAAATAAGCCTCAATATTTTTTTGAATTTAGAAGACATTTTTTCTCAATGGATCAGTAAAGCATTTTTTCTTAAATAAAAGAAGTGCTTGAAGCGCTTGTTCTCAATATTTTTTTGTCAAACATATATATAAATAAATATAATTACAACATTAGATCTGACACTTGTTCCACACACTCATGAACATACAATATTTTGAAAAATGATTATGAATATGTGGAATAAACATATGTCTCTTCACTCGAACATCCTGAATCTGTGACCAATATAAAATAATAGTCAATAAAAATTGACACTCAGCTCAAAATGTCACAAAATTAAATCAATTTCTTCTGAAAATTCTTCTTCAAACTTTAAACTATTCTGAACAGTATGTTACAATTATAATATGTATATCTATTCACATTCCCAGTCCAACGCTTGATTCAAAACAAAATATATACTTTGGTACGAGTTGTCTTGGGTACCAGTTGTCTTGGGTACGACTTGTCTTGGGTACGAGTTGACCAGTTACCTTATAAATCAACCAAAAACTAGTTAGTCATCTGAAACTTCAGATATGCAGACAATAAAGTTATGCAACAGTATGGGGGTGGCATCGTTTTTGTTGTTTGTGTTACATAAGCCGCTGTTTCCTCGGCAGTTCGTCTCCTGTAGTGTAAATTCACTTTTAGCTCTCTCCTGTGCTTAAAATCTCACTTGTTGCGTTTTGTGTGTCACCCTGTATGCCCATCATTGCAGGTTGCAAACTTGTATCCGTTGTTTGACCTTTTTGGAAAGTCTGGCTCGGCAAGACCCGTTTCCTGAGTCAATTTTGAACTCATTGATTAAAAAAGATTTAACCCCAGCAGGGACGTAGCCAGCTTTCAGTCAGGGGGTGCGATTGTTGAATAAACAAGCAAAAAATAAGATTTATTTTGAATTTTACAAAAATTGATGCAACTTCCTTCATAATTGATTGCACCCATCGCCCCCCCCCCCGGCTACGCCTTAGCCCAGAACTAAAAAAATCACTGTCTAATAATATCTCATTATTTCTTATATTCCTCGATTCTATGCATTTTTATATCCCGGGAATCCAAAATACATTTTTTTCGTGTGGTGTACAATAGAAATTCCCGGGAGACGGACAAGCAGACCAAGATATTTCGTACGGTGTATTGACCAATCATTGCAGATAAAACAATAAACGTAAAATGCAAAGTTCATTTTGCTTCAAAATAACACTCAAATAGTACTTTGGACTCTAAATCAGTACTTCTAAGGTAGTCCAACTAAATCACTAATAATCAATGCTGAAAGCCACCATTTGTTTAAGACGCTGCTCAATAAGTTTAATCAACAAAATGGATGGGAAACGAAGGAAAGTTTTTGTTGCTGGAGTTGGAATGACCAAATTTGAGAAACCGAAAGTAAAAGATTGGGACTATCCTGATATGGGTAAAGAAGCTGGTAAGTGAAGAGTCCTGTAAAATCATATATACGCAAGATCTATATGAAACATTTCTCAGGTTTATCATACCTAAATACTATTATTTCAAGCTGAGATGAGACCCTATCTATTGCAAGACCATAGGCTAAGGGTTAAGTAATAGTAAGCTGTATACAGAAGAGACAGGTAAACAATTAGGATTGAAAATTTTTTCAAAAACTTGCCGTCTTGGTACGAGTTCTCCTTACTGGTATCGAGTCGTACCACCAAATCTCCCAAGAATCTTCTCCAAAGTGTTTTCGAAACGTAGATTGTTGAATATTTCAAATCTATATCCTAACTCTTCGATAAGACAGCATAAAAAAACACCAACTGTACGAACCTGCAATTGCCCGGCAAGTTGAAACTTCCGGACACATGGAAAGATTGAAATTTCACCATTTAAATTGGGTTTAAAAAGATATTATATGAATCAGATGTTTTGATAAATAATTATTAAGTAAACCTTTTATAGTTTTGTACACTTTAATTGATTGTTATTTCTAGAAAATGAATTACATTTTAGAGAACCAGATAGGTGTCACTTGCGGCGGTTAGCAGGAACCAATCAAATTCCTTGTTTCAAACTTCCATTCATGATTCAACACGGAAGTCCGGGTAACTTGCCAGGCAATTGTAGGTTTTCAGAATATCTCACCTCAAGACGGCTTTATTCACTCTATATCACTTGAATGTGGTTGATTCATAGGTAAGAATTGAGAACTATCAATTTTGGATCAACTCTGCATTGTTTTTTGCAAATTATACACAAATAATGTTAAAATCACCATGTTAACAAGTGGCCTAAATCCTAGTTGTTCACCTGTCTCTTCTGTATACCTTACTATTACTTAACCCTTAGCCTATGTGCAAGACTTATGCCGGGCACAACCGTCACCATGTTATTAAGTGTTTTTAAGTTTCGCAAGGATCCTGCCATGACCGTGGTAGTGTTATCGTGATAGCCTGGTATAACCGTGACAATGCTATATTATATTGCATGGCCTGTCATGACCTTGACAATGCTATACTATATGACCGTCATGGGTGTAGCGCCCGGTACGCTGGGTACGCACAGGCGTACCAGATGGTTGCAAATTCACTCCAAATACAACCAAATTTCAAAATTTACCCCTAGTATGTATCCAACAGACTGACTAGAAGTCAGTCTGTTATGATGTACTACTTTCCTGTGGAAATTGCAGTGAAATTTTTTGCACAAAATTATCAATTAGAGGAATCATTTCTTCAATAAAATAAACATTACAAAATTTCAATTAAATAGTAAGGTACAATTAAATGCAATAAAAGGTAACACAGCGTATTGTGAAGTGGAAATAAAGCTAGTTGAAGTAACAAATGTGCAAATTAATTTTACCCAATCGGCCATTTCGAATAGCACTTCCTTTGTAAACAAATATCTAGAATTACCAAACTTTAACATAGGTGCCTTATAGTCTGAATATAATTCAGACTAAATAGGATATAGTCTACCCAGACCCCCCTAAATGCTCGTTTTTTGATTCACTCAACTCTTGTTCCGTGGTGGTGGTGGTGTACTACTTAGAAAAATAGCGCTACGCCCATGACCGTGGTAATGTTAAAGCCTGATATGACTGTGGCAATGGCTGTAAGGCCTGTTATGACCGTGGTAATTGAGATTAACATTTACAGTTGAATGTTATGACGAAAGAAGATATCTAAATTCATATAATTGATATCTATCTCATTCAAAGAACGTATATTAGACGTCCATGGCAACATTATCAGAGACGGTTCTCTTCATCGGGGCTTGGCTGGAGGGTCAGGCAAGCCCTCCAATGTGTCTGTACTGATCTAAATAGTAAAAGGGAGTTCTATGTCTATACTACCTTAAATTGAAAGAGGTTGTGAGGAAAAATCAATGGAATCCTTTCAATAATCAACTACTGATTCAGTGGCGTAGCTGTAATGTACGGCAATACGCCATGGCATCTAGTTGAAAATCCTCAGTGGGGAATTTTTTATTTTACCTATCACTAGGTAAAATAAGTTATTCACCACAAAATACATGGGAACCTCATGAAGTTTTCCTTTCCAATGTAGCATACATTTTCAAATAATTATCCCAACGAACGAAGTTCGGTAGGGATATAGTGAAGCCCTCCGTCCGTATTCTCCGCAAAGAGGGTAAACTAAGAGGACAAATCAACATAAGACCAACAGTAAGGGGAAGGGGATAGTTTTCCGGCCGGATTAAAACGTTTAACCCACCTATGCGCAGTCTCAAGTCTGTGGACCCTGAAGAAAGATAACTAACATCGCAATCAAATCAAGACAAAGAAAGAAGAAATTAAATGAAGAAACCAATGCAGCAAAAACAAATGACGTCCGTCCGTCCGTCTGTCCGTCCGGAAGATAACTCAAATATTAGTTGACGGATTTTCTTCATATTTGGTGGAAAGATGTATATTGATGAATAGTTTTACGCAAAAAAATTTTTTCAAGATGGCTGCCGCTTTAAAAATGACAGGACTTTTTCGCAAAAATCATAAATTTTTCATTCTAAACCAAAGTAATTAATATTATTGTTTGAAATTTTGGTAGTATTCACCTTTCCACAAAGTCAAGAAAATCGATAATTTCCGCTGCGCTGATTGGCTGTATGCAAATGAGTTCAATCGATGACGTCAATGACTGAAACATTTTAGAATTTAGTACAGGCAGTCTATGGAAAGTCTTACTTACCTGTAAGAATTCTCATTATATTTAAATCTTTGCTAAGTGTTTGGTAGAATCTGAGGAAAATCAAAGAAGAATGGTAAGTAAGAAGCAAAAATCGTCAATTTTAGACAGTGTCTGTTTCATTTTTATTAGATTTAAAGCGAAGTAAGCCTAGCTTGTTACCCGGAATTTGTATAACCTCAGAGCCAGTACAACTGTACAATGCATGCACATGGTTTGTTCAATAGAGTATTAATATCCCGGGGGGTTCACTATATACAAAATTTGACGGGGGTCCTAGGCTGAACATAAAAATCTGTCGAATTTCAATGTGTTCCCATAGTACCAACCAAAATAATTCCCAAAAGCCATACCAAATGTCAATATATGAGATCAATGCCATACCAATTGGCAAATGTCTAAATATAGGACCAATGCCATTCCAAATATCCAGATATATGATTTTTAGAATTTGATTTAATCAATTTAATAGAACCCACTTTCATTTCATGTTATTAATGGTCTCATAATGAGTTTGGTTTAATCCATTTGACGAGTGATTAATTAAGACTTATAATTCTAGGAGCAGGCTTCAGCGCCCAATATGATTGAAAATGCAGAAGCTGCAAGTAATCCCTCTCATGATACTCCAACTGTTCTAGAAGATAATGACATTGTGGATACATCATCGCAAAGTAATTGCCCGTGTAGTATACTGACAGTGAATGATGTTGATGGTGCGAGTCTTAATAAACCAATTGGTCAACTGAGAAAATCTGAGTGCGTTAAATGGCTTTTGTGTCGAGGGATTAAGCCTCATTTTAAATCCACACTAGCAGCTCTTCGAACTAAAGTAATAGAAACTGAAAAAACGCAAGCTGTTCCAGATGATTCATTGATAATAAATGATCCCGACCCCAACAATGCAAATTTACGGGCAAAGCAATCGAAATGCACAACCTGCAAACGCAAACGCATTTGCGATAGTCATGAAACCTCACCAGATAATGTTTTCCCGAGTAAAGGATTCTCTTCTTCCTTTCCCGTTTCTCTTACTGGCTTTACATACAGCAATATCGAAAAATATGCAAAGAACAGTGGGAAAAAAATCAAGACAACCATGGTCGAAAAGCCTTTTGAAAAGGGCTACTATTTTTTCAGAGAAAATTATATTCATGGTACGGAATGCAAAACGGCAAACGGATATCATTATATAAAATCAAAGTGTTACCCATCCCAGAGAAAAAATACGTCCCCCCACACGCTAAAATGTACCATAAATGATTGCGAGGTAGAATCTGCGTCATGCTCATGTAAAGCAGGAAAATCAGGCTACTGCAATCATATTATAGGATTACTGTACCAAATTGATTATATGGGACAAAATAAATTATCATTTTTCCCAAAAGAGAATTCATGTACCGACAACCCCCAAAAATGGCACAAACCACGAACAAGTGGATTGTCGTCTGATACAGTGATGCTATCTGAAGTTTCTGTACCCCATTATGGAAAAGACACAAGTCGAGGAATTAAATCTACGTTGTTTGACCCGAGACGTGACAAAACACCAATCGACACCAAGGGATTGTATTGTGATCTTATACAGATTGGGACACCAATAGATTTTACCCTGTTAAGTGGACAATGCAATCAGAACAAAGAGCAAGTGCCAACATCCTTGGGGTTTTCTGTGCCCAGGGGAAGTATCTTGTCATATCAAATACCCCAAAATGATCCTAATTTTCATATTGAAGACACAATAGACTATGATAATAGACAAATAATTGTTTGTCCCGATGATTTCCCACCCTTCCCATGGAGCACTTTAAGAGACGATCTGCCTTGTTACAACGGACCCCTTGACGAGTGTTCATTAAATTTCATCAATACAAATGTAGCAGTTACAACCAACGAAGCTCTCGATCTCGAGCAGAATACAATTGGCCAAACAACCGTACCATTGTGGCATAGTTCAAGAAAATGTAGATTAACAGCAAGCAAATTCGGACAAATTGTAAACAGAAAGACTAAGGAACACTCCAAGTTTATAAGAAATGAGCTGCTTGGTGGTTCTGTTGGTAAAACCTCTGAAGCTATGAAGTATGGGATTAAAAATGAAACTGTAGCAATTGAAAAATACAAAAACTACAGAGAGTGTAATGGAAACCCCATTAAAATTATGCCCACCGGGTTGTACGTTAATCCTAAGATTCCATTTTTAGGAGCCAGTCCAGATGGCAAAATCCTAGATCCCAACGAGGGGCCTGGTTTGATT